GATAAAATAAAGTTAAATTATAAGTTTTAATATTATTTTAAGACCGGTCAACTATTGGATCCGTCAGAAGCCCTTTACCCAGTAAAAAATTCATTCGGTCATTTATTAGACCCTCTGATTTTATCACAATCCAATTAATCACCGTATATTTATAATACTAACTTCTTAACCTCAAAATTAAATCTGTCAAGTGTTTAAAGTACTTTAGTCATTCAATATTTTGTAAATATAAAAATAATCATTATAAAATGTATATTTACAATTAAAATAATACTTAAAATCTTTTTTGATTATTAAATTTTACTTTGTTGTAATTTTTTTAGTGAACGGTTATATCAAAGAACGAATTATTAGAAGAAAAAATTGCTAAGCAATTAAAAAAATAAAAAAGAGTTACAAGCTAGTAAAAAAGCTTTAATTGAAAAAAAGAAGGAGGAGAATAAAAAAATTTCAAGTTAATCAGAAGAATTATCGTCATCAAAATGAATTTGTGATTATTTATGACCTAAAGAAATGTGACTTTATGTTGCTATTATTTATATTATTTTATAAAAAAGTACGATTTAAAAGTATATTGTATGTTTAGTTTTGTTAAAGATGTCGTTAACACTTCAAAAGTACTGCATAAATTTAATTACATACATGTAGTTTACAAAATTACTTATAATATTATTTGAGCGGTGAATTAATTGGAGAACGGTCGGTCATTTATTGGGTTTTTTCGGTCAATAATTGGTGATATTAGTATTTCTAGATTCAAATAACAAAATTAATATAATTTTGTTAATTTTTATTAATAAAGTATTTAACTTTAATAAAATCTATTACAAATTGTTTTTAGTAGGTTAATAGATTTTTATAGCTTAGTTCAGAAAAAGAAAACCTTAATCGGTCAATAATTGGTGCATTTACCCTATTTAGTTTTATAAAACTATGGCATTAAATTTAATAATACTGAAGTTATAGAAGAATAATACAGCCGTCAGCTGTCAATTTTTAAAATTCTTATAAAAAATCAATTACAATAATAAAATGCTTCTAAAAATTTTAACTTGTGATTTTTATTAATTTTCACATGTGAAATTTTTTAATTAAATTTTTTTTATAATAATTTAATTTCCATAAAATTTTAAGAATATTTTTTATGTCTGTCCACTTTAGTGCCATTAAATTTAGCTGTCACTTGACAATTTTTTAAAGTTTCTACATGTCAATTTTCTTTGCCATGATTTATTGGCTAAAAAATTCCTAAAATTATAACATACATGCTAAATTAATTAATTTTCATTATAAAACTAAAATAAAACCATAAAAATTAATTTTAAAAAATAAATTTACCAGAAAGAACCCTTTCTAGTAATTATTTCTGCCGGTAATATAACCAAGTTTTAACTAGCTACTGTCACGGCGAGTGGAATAAATAAAAATCATTATTATTATTCATAAGCTCACATAAAAAGTCTAGAGTTACGGATGTCTAACGAGTAGAGCAATGACTACTTTACTACTTTATTTATTATTATTACACTTACAGTGGTCAAATTAATAAAAAATTAACCGTAATTAAATAATAACAAAAATACATTTGTACTTCTACTGATATATATATCATTTTTTTTAAGAAAATCAAAAGGAGTATTAAAATGGACGAAGCGAAATTTTTGAAAAGGTAATTGTTGTTTGTTATTGATTTTCAACTGAATAAATAATCAATTTATTTTTTTTTATAACCTTATCAATTGACCTTTTGTGCAATGTCAGGTTATGGAAAAATATTTATTGTTGTTTTATTTTATGACATTTCAATAATTATTCTGTATTTTATCTAATTATTGTTCAATCAATGATGTTCGTTCTTTTTTTTATTTTTTTATTATTTCTTCTTTTTATTAAATAATAAAAAAATATTATGATACTATGTACAATCAACAGACACTTAAAAATTTTAATATTTTTATAATTAAATTATGGGAAAATGAAAGCAGCAGATATTTAATAATTTTAAGAATATTTGAAGAAATAAATTAGTGTAAAAAAAACTAGGAAAAAAAATTGACATGTAGAAATTTAAATAATTGAAAATTCAATTTTTTTAAATTAATTTTTTGGAAATTTTTTTTTTAAATAAAATTAAAAAATTTTGAAGTGGCTGCTAACTTTAATGTCATTTAAATTATCATGAAAGAAATTAAGTAAAAAAACTCCAGGTAGATATTTTTTAAAAATTATAAGAGCGAATTTTTTGAAAATTAATTTTTTTTTATCATGATTAATTAGTTATAAAAATTTCTAAAAATTGTCAGATTTTTGCTGATTTATTATACTGAAATTCAGACATTTGATAATGTTTATAAAAAAATTTGCAACAAAAAAAAATTTATAGAAAAATTCTACATGCAGAAATTGTAGAAAAAATGGTGAGTGAATTTTTTTATAATTAAATTATTTATTAAATAAAGTCTAAATAAAATAAAATGTCTTCTAATTTCAGTGAAATTGTTGATTTAAGTAACACAAAAAATTCTAATTATTAAAAAATATTTATTGAAATTTTACTTAATAACACAGTAACTAACATTTAGAAATTTTTTTAAATTTTTTTTATTAAAAAAAAGTTTGCCTGCCAAATTGATGAAAAATTTGATTTATGAATAGAAAATACTTGAATATAAATATTTTTAAGAGAAAATACTTGACATTAATATTAAAAAAAATTAGGTATAAAAATTTTGCAGTTACTGTGTTTTAAAATTGGGCAGCCGACTTCAATAATTATTCTATATTTTATTTAATTATTGTTCTTTTTTTTTTTTTAATTCTTAGAATTATTTTTTAATATTTCTTCTTATCAAGAGGGTAATGCTAAATGGGATGAGAATGTATCATAGTTACAAAACTGTACATCTGGGAATAATAAATAAATTATTTTTTTTTATCAGCAAAAAAAAATTATACTCATTTTAATTAGATTTTTATAATTAAATTAGGTAATTATTTACAATTGGGGTCCACCATTTTAATTTTCATTTTTTTGAATAAAATTTCTTTTTGATTTTATTGATATATTTTTTTTTGAAAAATACATAAAAAAATGAACAATTAAAAAAAACGTTGATTATCACAATTTTAAGAAATTTTTTAGAAAATTGTGATGTTCAAGTTTTTTTTTTTAATTGTTCGTTTTTTTATGTACTTTAAAAAAAAAATATATCAAAAAAAAGATAAAATATAAATTTCCAACTTTTTAAGACAAAAAAGCTATCGAAATCTTTATTTTTTTCTTTCACGACTAGCAGAATAAAAAAAAATTTGAAAATGTTAATTTTTCACCTAGTTATGACCCAAAATAAGGTGGACCCCTACTTGTAAATAATTACCAAATATTTATTGAAATTTTATTTAATGACATCTCAATAATTATTCTATATTTTATTTAATAATTTTTTTTTAACTCTTAAAATTATTTTTTATTATTTCTTATCAATTAGATTTTTATAATTAAATTAAGGTAAAAGACCCAGTTATTGACTCTTGCAATTTTATTCTAATTAAAAAAATAAAATGTTTTCAAACAATCAATTATCTCAAAATTTATAATTCAAAAATGATATTTATTAATTTATTAGAGTCGATTTGTTTTATTTAATTAATATAAAATTGCAAGTGTCATTAACTAGGTCTTTTACCTTATTCTAAAAAAAAAATTATAAAAAAATTTCTTCATATAGAAAATTAGGGTAAATGCACCAGTTGTTGACCGGTCACCAATTAGTTGACCGATGTATAAAAAAGTTAATTAATTAATATTTTACAAGGGTTTTTTTTTCTTAAAGTATTAAAATAAAACAATATGGCATTTAATCATCATAATAAAAAATTACGCAATTAATTGCGCAGTGATTATAGCTTTAAAAAAATATTCTGAGTTTGTTTACAACGCAACCAGCCATAAAGCGGTCAAAAATAACTAGCGTACAATTGGAGAGTGAGTGCATTTTATAATTAATTTAGTGATATTTATCGGCATAATATAAAATATTTTAGTTTTATTATGTTAATTAAAGATCAGATTCCAACTTTTTTGAAAAAATAAAGTTAAATTATAAGTTTTAATAATATTTTAAGACCGGTCATCTATTGGATCCGTCAGAAGCCCTTTATCCAGTAAAAAATTCATTCGGTCATTTATTAGACCCTCTGATTTTATCACAATCCAATTAATCACCGTATATTTATAATACTAACTTCTTAAGCTCAAAATTAAATCTGTCAAGTGTTTAAAGTACTTTAGTCATTCAATATTTTGTAAATATAAAAATAATCATTATAAAATGTATATTTACAATTAAAATAATACTTAAAATCTTTTTTGATTATTAAATTTTATTTTGTTGTAATTTTTTTAGTGAACGGTTATATCAAAGAACGAATTATTAGAAGAAAAAATTGCTAAGCAATTAAAAAAATAAAAAAGAGTTACAAGCTAGTAAAAAAGCTTTAATTGAAAAAAAGAAGGAGAAGAATAAAAAAATTTCAAGTTAATCAGAAGAATTATCGTCATCAAAATGAACTTGTGATTATTTGTGACCTAAATAAATGTGACTTTATGTTAATTATTGCAATTATTTATATTATTTTATAAAAAAGTACGATTTAAAATTATATTGTATGTTTAGTTTTGTTAAAGATGTCGTTAATACTTCAAAAGTACTGCATAAATTTAATTACATACATTTAGTTTACAAAATTACTTATAATTATTTGAGCGGTGAATTAATTGGAGAACGGTCGGTCATTTATTGGGTTTTTTCGGTCAATAATTGGTGATTTTAGTATTTCAAGATTCAAATAACAAAATTAATATAATTTTGTTAATTTTTATTAATAAAGTATTTAACTTTAATAAAATCTATTACAAATTGTTTTTAGTAGGTTAATAGATTTTTATAGCTTAGTACAGAAAAAGAAAACCTTAATCGGTCAATAATTGGTGCATTTACCCTACAATAATTTTCAAAAATATTTTTTTTATCATAAAAAATTTCTAAAATGATTTAACAACTTCCAGAAAAGTCCGATCAGGAACATTGGACGTGCACCCAACAGAAAAAGCTCTCGTCGTAAACTACGACGTGGAAGCTCTGATCCTCGGCGAGCTCGGAGACCCAATGCTCGGCGACCGCAAAGAATGCCAAAAGATAATCCGCCTAAAAAGCTTGAACGCGGACACCAACGTCTCCCTCTTAGCAAAAGAAGTAATGGAAAAATGTTCCCTAATCCACGAATCAAAGCTCCACGAAGTAGAGCAGCTGATCTACTACCTCCAAAACCGCAAGATGAACGAAGAACAACCCTCTCGTCCAGCATCCTCCACTAACTCCGAAGGAGACCTCGAACGCGCAGTGATCAGCAACGTGGACTCCTACATCGAGCTGCTCTACGAAGAAATCCCCGACAAAATAAAAGCCTCTGCTTTAATCCTCCAGCTAGCTCGAATCCCCGACAACTTACTGGAGCTGACCAAAAACGAGTCACTACTAAGCGCACTCGCCCGAGTTCTCCGAGAAGACTGGCGCCGGAGCATCGAGCTCTCCACCAACATAGTCTACATCTTCTTCTGCTTCTCCACTTACACTCAATTCCACTCAATAATTCTAGAGTACCGCATTGGCTCTCTCTGCATGGAGATAATCGACTACGAGCTCCAGCGCTATGATCAGTGGCGCGACGATATGGAGAAGCGTCGGAGGTACTTTGAAACCACAACAGGCCTCGTGCTTTTTCCCTCAGTCACTTCTATTTCTTCTGACGTGGATAAGAAGTTGAAGCTCACTGACGACATCTGGACGACTGAAGCTCCTCTAGATTATGAGCTAAAGCGCCGCTCAGCGGAGATTAACTTCCACATTAGTGATGCAGAGGTCAAACGTATGAAAGACGATTTAGAAAAGTATCGGAAGAAGTTCAAGAATTTGACTAAAAAGCAGGAACAGTTGTTAAGAGTCGCTTATTATCTGCTGCTTAATATTGCTGAGAACACAGACGTGGAGAGAAAAATGCGGAAGAAGAATATCATATCTATGATCATAAAAACTTTAGATCGGACCAATACAGATTTGTTAATTTTAATCATTACTTTTTTGAAGAAACTTTCTATATTTCGGGAAAACAAAGATGTGATGGCCAATGAAAATATCATTGAGAAACTCCCACGTTTGTTACAGAACAACAACAATGTTGATCTGGTCCAGATCACACTAAAGCTGCTGTTCAACTTGTCCTTTGATTTGAAACTAAGAGGCAAGATGATCCGCGTTGGATTATTGCCGAAGCTAATAAAATTGTTGGGACTGAATGAGATCAAGAACAAATCAACAATTCTGGGGCTGCTTTACCACTTGAGTATGGATGATAAAGTAAAGCTGATGTTCAACAACTCGGATTGCACTCAGCTGATCATTGATATGATTTTAGAGCTAGAAGATGATCGTTTTAAAAAGGAATTAGTGGCAGTAGGGATTAATTTGTCGATAAACCACAAAAATGCGCTGATGATGATAGAAAATAATCGGCTTCAAGGTCTGATCTCCAAAGCTTTTAGAACGCAAGATTCGCTTCTGATGAAGCTGATACGGAATATCTCCCAGCATGAAGTCTTAAAGGAGTACTTTGTTGAGTTTGTGGGAGACTTTGCTATGGCGCTAACCCAATCAGACTCTCAGGATTTTATTCTGGAGCTAATTGGAGTAATGGGGAACTTGGTCCTGCCGGATTTGGACTACGCGCAGATTTTACAAAGGTGTAATTTGATCCCTTGGATTAGGAATAATTTGGTGGTGGGAAAAGCACCGGATGACTTGATATTGGAGGTGGTGATCCTATTAGGGACTGCTGCGAGTGATGAAGATTGTGCCAGGTTGATCTGCAAGGCAGATTTGTTGCTGTCTTGTATAGAATTGTTGAGAGCTAAGCAGGAAGATGATGAGATTGTTCTGCAGATTATTTATGTTTTTTATCAAATTGCGATGCATGAGTCTACTAGGGATTACTTGATCAGGGAGACTAATAATGAGGCGCCTGGGTACTTGATTGACTTGATGCATGACAAGAACCCGGCGATTAGAAAGGTTTGTGATGCTTGTCTGGATGTCATTGCGATGGTTGATAAAGAGTGGGCGGCGAGGATTAAGGTTGAGAAGTTTAGGTCACATAATCAACAGTGGTTGGAGATGGTTGAGTCTATTGCGGTGGATAATGCCAATCATTTGATTGTGGATGATGATGAAAGTCTACCGCCGTATTTGAATGATGATTTGCTGAAGCATACTATGCTGTTTCCTTCGGGGACTACCACTAGTTTTAGTACTGATGATATGGAGATGAGTGGGATTAAATCTACTGATTCTGGGGAGAGCCACAGTCGACCTGCTAGTCGGTATGTATTTTTTTTTTTTAATTATTATTTTTAATCTATATTGCCAAAATTTTGTGGGCAGTGTATTTATACAAAATGGGTTTTTATGGTTAAATTTGGTATCATTGGAAAAGTTTTGAATTGAATTTGTGCCTTTTCATGGTTTCATTTAAAATGCTCTATTTCTAGATACATAATTAAGAAATGACCTTGTATCTTGTGAACTATTGACAGTTTTAAAAATCTAAGCTCATCTTGATGTTACACTCATCAAGACCTTTCATTTGAGTACCCACATGCATTTTGATATATTTTTCATATATACATATATATAATATATATATATATAAATATATGAAAAAATCCATGTGGGTACTCAAATGAAAGCTCTTGATGAGTATAACATCGAAATGAGCTTATATCTTTAAAAATGTCAATAGTTAAAAAAAGTACAGGGCATTTTAACAAATATCTTGTGAACTATTGACATTTTTTAAGATATAAGCTCACTCTGACATTATACTTATCGAGACCTTTCATTTGAGTACCCATATCATTTTTTCATATATTTATATATATTATATATATATGTATATATGAAAAATATATCAAAATGCATGTGGGTACTCAAATGAAAGCTTTTGATGAGTGTAACATCAGGATGAGCTTATTTCTTTAAAAATATCAATAATTAAGAAATGACCTTGTATCTTGTGAAACATTGACATTTTTAAAGATATAAGCTCACCTGGACATTACACTCATCGAGACCTTTCGTTTGAGTACCCACATCATTTTTTCATATATTTATATATATGATGTATATATGAAAAATATATCAAAAATGCATATGGGTACTCTAATGAAAGCTCTTAATGAGTGTAACATCGAGATGAGCTTATATCTTTAAAAATGTCAATAGTTTAAAAAAGTACAGTGCAATTTAACAAAATTCATTATTTAATAAAGCAAAATTTTATTTATTTATAGTTCACAAGTTACGGCAGTCACATACTGAGTGAAAAAAATTTCAGATAGTAGCTAGTATAATCCAGATAACAATGAGTATAATTTAGATATCACGTAGTATAATCAGGATTTTTCTAGCTACTACCTGAAATTTTTTTTCACCACCGATATTTTACTGAGTATGATCTGGGATGATATCCAGTGTCATCTTGTTATTTCCGTGAAGCTTTTTAAAAAAATTTTTTTTAAAATAATTTTTCTTAACAAAAATATTTTTTAAAAATAATTTTTTTAATAAAAAATATTTTTTTTTTAGATACAGCCGAGACATGGACGACATAAATGAATTTATGGCCCGGTCAAAATCCCGAATGTCAGTGGGCTCAGGAATAGAAGACCTTTACCACAACTCAAAAGTGAGATTCTCCGAGGCGGATTCTTCTCATCTTTTGCTCTAATAACTCATTCCCTAGTTATAATTAAAAATACGCTTAAATTTAAGTACTTAATTACTTATTTATTTAATTAAAAAAAAAGTAACTAAAAGACGTCCATTGCATGCACGAATAGATTAGTGTGAACGAACGTAGTGCCTTTTTATTTAGGCCGTAATGCTTGGATTTATTTGTTTAAGGCAAAGCCTGATCTCGTTAGTCTGCGATACTTTCACTCATTAATTATAATTAATAATTATCAAGCTTAAATATTTATACATCGATTATTTATCTACTAGTCACTTAGCAACTATTTGTGATAGTCCATTAATTATCAGCCTAATTTAAAATCTAAATTAAAATTATACTTAGAATAAAATTCAATTTATTTATTTTTCGGCCGACTACTTGAGCTCAGACATTTCTGTATTATAATCTCACTGTGTTTTAAAATTACAGAGTAATTGTTAGTACCGTCATTGTTAATCACTGCATGCTCTTTCAGTCCCCAACTTACAGGGCTGTTGTCAAAACCTCGGACATGTAATCCCCAGAACTCATACCCAGTGTTTTTTGATGAGTTCAATAATTCATTCATGGTGTTTAAGATTTTAATTACTCTTGACCTTGTAAAAAATCCACGGTACTCAATGTATAAAATATCTTTTTTAATATCCGATTCACCTTCATTATTTATTGAATTTCTGCAAAATAAATTTATATTAATTGTATATCTGTGTATTAATCTAACCAGACATTTACAGATCGTGTAAAAAATTCCAAAAGAGCGTAGAAAAATTTTTTTGCCAATCTCTGCAAGCAAATTTTTATTAAACTTATTCTATTACTTATCAACTAGACAAAAATGAAAATCAAAACAAAAAAAATTTTTTTTTTTAATTAAAAAAGTGGCGCTGAAGTCCTCTCCAAAAAAAAAAATGGACCTGACTGGTGGAGGTAGATTGATCTCTCAATAATAAAAAAAATATTTGACAAAATGGCGCATAGTTAAAAGTACAAATCTGAAATTCATTTTCAAAAAATTCTCTCGAATTAATTTTGTCAAATATTTTTTTTTTTTTTTTTTTTTCTAGTACCGACGATAACTATCCTGATACTAATTAAAAATCAGTCATATTTTTTAACTTCAGATCAGAGGGAGAGATCAATCTACCCTCCACCAGTCAGGTCCATTTTTTTTTATTCTCATTTTTGTGTAGTTGATAAGTAATAGAATAAGTGTAAAAAAAATTGAAAGCATTAGTCATTACCTTCATATAGAAATAAAATTTTTAAAATAGCTTAAATTTTAGACCGCTAAACCACCGAGTCCCCTTAAAGCTAAAAGGTCCTATAAATTTTTTTTAAGTAATTTATTAAAATGCTTATTTTTAGCCTAAAAATAAAAAAAAATAGAGTCAAAGAGGCGTATTCTAACTATACATACACTCTTTTAAAATTACAATTAAAAGTATTTTTTAAAAATTGCAAATTTATTTGAAAATTATTTTAAAATTCTAACATCAAGTTAAAAAAAGAATTAAAATTTTTAAATTAAAAAAAAATTATTCTGATTTATAATGTACTTATAATCCAAGACAATAATTAAAGAAAAAATCAGTAGATTCAGTTTTTTTTTCTTCTTAATGAAAAGATTATAGTTTTTATTATTGCATTTTTAATGAATTTTTAAGATCTAACTTGTCTTGTGAAGTTATTTATCAAAATTTTTTATAAAAACTTAAATTTTTCTTCATGCGTCCTTTTGAAATTAGTCACACGACATTCATATACTTACGGAAGATTATCCATCCACGAGAATAAATTTTCCGAGTCGCCATCTGGTGGATCTATTGACGAATTAAATTTTTTACTGGATTTTTGATGGCAAACAAACGTCTTGTGACCCCGATTGTTGAACCACGATGCTACGGATGATGGACATACTTTTTCTTCTGCAAATATAAATTAATTATTAACTAAAAATTAAAAAAAAAAAAATATATTTATTACCTGGAGGGTCCCACGACACAATAACATCAAACTTGTGTTTAAAATTATTCTCCAAACATTTTTTAACACGCTCGTACTTTTTTTTTCCTGCCACGAATGATTCTTCCTTTAAATTTATTTTGACAACTTAAAAATAAAATAAAAAAAAAAATAAGCTTATTTTTATTATTTAAAAGAGAGTAAATATAATTAATTGATTGTTAGGTGTTTTATTTATTTATTAAATTGCAGTATAAATAGTAAGCCATGTTTAAAAAATGGAAGTATTGAGCCGCATTAAAAAAAATCACAGTCCTTTCATTTTAGTAATTAAAAATTCACTGATAATACAAAAATATAAGTCACTTTATTCAGTTGCTTAATTAACTAATTACCTATTACACATCATTGGAATTCGTCATGGCACCTCTAATTAATGACTAATAAATCTTACGATAATAAATAAATTAAAAATTAAACATTCCTTTTAATATATCAATAAAAAAAATTAAATTAAATTTTCTAAATACATTCATTTAATAAGGTAAAGTACTCAGTACTTGAACACTTATAAAAATGGGACCAGTTCTTGAACAGACTTTTAGAATTGTTGTAATACAAAATCCGTATATTTATTATGAGGAATATGCGCATGTTATAATTATTCAATGATACAGTAATTGATTTCTGAAAGTTTTTTCAATTATAAATCAAACGATTATATTTTTGTTAATCCCTGCAACTTCCCGCTAATTCCATATCTAAGCGCTTGAAATTGCACTTGTAACGTTATCGAGTTCTCCGAGCTCCAAATTACAATTTATATGTTATTTTGAGCTCTCCGAGCTCTATGCTTTTGATCTCTTCGAGCTCATATCTAGCGTTTGACATATCTATTATTAATCTATAATTGTGTTAATTAATTTAAAAACAATTTAAATGACACAATAAGAGGTTATTATTATTTTTATGATATATTTAATTTTTATTAAAATAAATCATCAAATTCATGGATGAATTAACTGAGAGCAATATCATGTCGCTAAATTATTTTTTTTTTTTTTAATTATACTAGAATTCAAAATTGCGCGCGCAAGCGCTTGACTATGGAGTTTGCATATATTTTCATGCTTATGATATATTCGACCAATCACGTTACGAATAGTTTGCTTACATGATATATTTTCATATTTTTTCATCTAAAACTAGAATTTAATTTTCGCGCGTCATATTTGTTGTCATGATATATTTATGTGTCGTTTATGTATATTATATTAACTTTCAACCAATCAGAATGAGAATATTTATTTTCAACCAATCACATCACGAATAGATTGGTTTCACATACATTTCATCTCAATTTTATTATGGAACTAGAATTTGAATTTACGCGCGCCTTGACTATAGAGTTTGCATATATTTTGATGCTTATGATATATTCAACCAATCACGTTACGAATAGTTTGATGCCACATACATTTCATCTCTATTTTATATTAGGATTATAAGAGTGGATTGACAGTACTTTTATCTTGAATAAAATTTTATCCCGGATTGAAAAACTGGCCCTAAAAGTAGGGTCAAATAAGTTTTACTTCAAAACCTGTTCAACTACTGGATACTTCACCTTATTACGACTTTTTTTTTGATATTTTGCCAAAATAAAAAAAACTAAGCAAAAGATAAAGTAGGACTTGTATCACAATTAACATTTTGAATTTTAAGTTCATTTCTAAAATTAACCAGCTCCTCTTCCGTAATCCCATGCCAGCTCTCCAGCTCGGACAGTCTTCTTAAATTATCACAATTCTTCATCAGCAGCCTGACAGTTCTCATCGACAAATCGCTGCTGTACAGAATCTTCAGTTCTTCCAGTTTGCTCATTCTGTTAAGCGCAAAAACTTTTTTCATCGCGGTGTCGTCGATTCCCGTCGAAGATCCCAACTGGATGAACTTGATGTCCGTGCAATGAGACAGCAAGAATTCCAGGTGAGACTTTGCGCAGTCTGCTACGCACTTGATCCTCTCGAGACACTTGAAAGGCCTGACTTTCAAATTATCGTATCTAATCCCGGCGTTGATCACCGGATCAATGAAATCGCAGTTGTAGAACGTCAAGCTTTTCAACCTGGGGCAGTACTGGCTGATGCAGACCAGAGCTGTTCTGTCAATCTCGTCTACATGCTCCAGGTGGAGACTCTCGATCCTTGACTGGGTCATTTCCAGTAAAACGCCGACTCCGTCGGCATAAAAATTGCAGGACATTAATTTAAGCTCCGTCAGGCACTCTAGTACCGACAGAATTGACAAATTATCCATCTCGTCGTTGCACATTATTGACAAACTTGTTATAAATGGACAGACTGTGATTAGTAAATACAAATAACCCGTTATCATACTACGGCTCTCGAAGGATTTTAAGTATAAGCACTTGTTATTGCTCTCCCGTTCGTAAATTATCTCTAATATGTCGCCGATGTCGTCACACCTCCCGATATTCTCCAGCCAGCGGAGTCCTAGCAGAAGATCTGCGTATCCTGTCACTGTAATTGACGTACGGAATAGTTTTATGTCTCTCAGTTGGTGGCACTTGAGAAGGGCAGGAATACTGCGATCTGTTACGGACCTGGAGAAATTTATTAATTTAAAAAAAAAAATGTTAAGAAAAAGAAAATTTCTATTAGAAATAAAACGGATCAAAAAATTAGTTTAAAAAGTCTCCGCTAGGTGGCTGCGGTTCTCGTAGTTAGAATTTAAAAATCTGGGAATTTAAGTTCACTAAAAAATTTTGCAGAGATCCAGGGTTCGAATCCTAGATTAAGTAATTTTTTTTTTTTTTTTTGATAAATAGTGATTAAATAAGAGGATTTTTTGATATTGTATGAGCCTTATTGATATTTATTAATTTGTTTTATCAGCTGGTAAATAAATTTAATAATATAAAATAGAAAATTAAATAAATTGAATGATAGAAAAAAAAAATACGATCTTTATTAATAAACTGGTAAGATTTCTCTGCTAGCGAGAGGGCGTAGCCACCTGGCGGTGAAACCAAGAACTGACTTTAATCAAGTAGTGCCACAAAATAGGATCAAGTATTTTTATTATTAGTATCTTCTATAAAAATAAAAATTGAAAGCTCTAAATTTATTTATAAATATCAATATAAATTAATACTACACCAATAGCAGAATTTTTTCATAAGTTGTAAAAGTCGCCGCTAGATGGCTACAGTTCTCATAGTTAGAATTTTAAAATTTGGGTATTTAAATTCGCGAAAAAATTTTGAAGAAGTCCAGAGTTCGAATCCCAGACAAAATTATTTGTTTTTATATGCACTGATAGAAGGATTTTTTAATCCTTTATTATGAGCCTTATTGACATTTATTATTTTTTCTATTAAATAAAAAAATTTAATAATATAAAATAGAAGATATACTTAATTGAATGATAGAAAAAAATTAAGTTTTTATTAATATACTCTGGTAAAATTTCTCTGCTAGCGAGAAGGCGTAGCCACCTAGCGGTAACACCGAGAACTAACTTCAATTCAGTAATGTTACAAAATAGAATCAAGCATTATTATTATTATTAGTGTCTTCTATGAAAATAAAAATTAAAAACTCCCCAAATTTATTAATGAATATCAATATAAATTAATACTACACCAATAGCAGAAATTATTAATAAATTGAAAAAGTTGCCGCTAGGTGGCTACAGTTCTCATAGTTAGAATTTTAAAAATCTGGGTATTTAAATTGAAGTAAAAATTTTGAGGTCCAGAATTCGAATCTTAAACAGAGTTTTTTTTTATACGAACTATTTTAATAATAAATAATTTTTCAACATTGAATGATGTCATAAATTTTTATAAACAGTTAAAAAATTTTAATGAAAATAATTATTTAAGTAATTCTTACCTAGAGGAAGTGACATCAAGACACCTCAATTTTTGGCAATTATTCCCCAAAGCCGTGATAATATTATCAGTGCAATCAAAGCAAAGCGTCAGAGCAGTCAAATTAGGCATCGCACTGACGCCATTAATAATCAACTTTTCAATATCAGAGGTCCTCCATCCAGCTGAACCAGACCCGAGGTCCAAAACTTCTAGGCCACGTAAATTGTGTAAGTTACTGTAGAGCATGTGTCTCATTATCTTAGGCCATCTTGTAAACTCAATCGCTCTGAGATTTGGGTGCATCACCACCTCAATCAGCGACACTATCACATTAATCTCCGAGAGGAAAAGGTTCATTGGCTGGTAGTCGTTGTACGTGTTCTTGGTCTCGTTCAGCAGGACCATTATTGACTGGAGAATCTTGGTAGACATCGGAGTGTACAAATGCCAGGGCACATTTGAGCTCAAGTTGTGTTTCAGAGTCTGGACTAGGGAGCGAAGAAGCTTGACTGCGCGAGCTGGGTTCTTTTGGGAAATCTCGCACACCGGGCCTATCATCTTACTACCTATGAGGGCTATGTATTTGCCAATGGAAACCAGTGCAAGCTCTTGTAAAACAGGCACTTTGTTTTTCTGAGGCATTGTTGGTCGTGATTTGCTCAAAGTTGCTCTTACTTACTGAAGCGGTTGCGCTGCCGAGAGAAAAATGAAGGCGAACCTTCTAGACCTAGTTCTTGGTAATCTGATGCGAGGAGTGAAAGCACTAGGTATCCTGTTGGAGTTATGCAGATGCTATTGTCGGCTGTCAAGTTTTGGTCGGCAGATATTAATGTCAGTTCACCTGAAAAAATTAAATTCAAATGTTTCATTAGCTTAGAATTTTATTTCAAATGTTATTTTATTTTTTTATTTAAATATTACTTTTAAAATAGTCTTTTCTAAATAGGGTAAATGCACCAGTTGTTGACCGGTCACCAATTAGTTGACCGATGTATAAAAAAGTTAATTAATTAATATTTTACAAGGGTTTTTTTTTCTTAAAGTATTAAAATAAAAAAATATGGCATTTAATCATCATAATAAAAAATTACGCAATTAATTGCGCAGTGATTATAGCTTTAAAAAAATATTCTGAGTTTGTTTACAACGCAACCAGCCATAAAGCGGTCAAAAATAACTACCGTACAATTGGAGAGTGAGTGCATTTCATAATTAATTTAGTGATATTTATCGGCACAATATCAAATATTTTAGTTTTATTATGTTAATGAAAGATCAGATTCCAACTTTTTTGAAAAAATAAAGTTAAATTATAAGTTTCAATATTATTTTAAGACCGGTCAACTATTGGATCCCGTCAGAAGCCCTTTACCCAGTAAAAAAATTCATTCGGTCATTTATTAGACCCTCTGATTTTATCACAATCCAAATAATCAAATTTAAAATTAAATCTGTCAAGTGTTTAAAGTACTTTAGTCATTAAATATTTTGTAAATATAAAAATAATCATTATAAAATGTATATTTATAATTAAAATAATACTTAAAATCTTTTTTGATTATTAAATTTTATTTTGTTGTAATTTTTTTAGTGAACGGTTATATCAAAGAACGAATTATTAGAAGAAAAAATTGCTAAGCAATTAAAAAAATAAAAAAGAGTTACAAGCTAGTAAAAAAGTTTTAATTGAAAAAAAGAAGGAGAAGAATAAAAAAATTTCAAGTGAATCAGAAGAATTATCGTCATCAAAATGAATTTGTGATTATTTGTGACCTAAATAAATGTGACTTTATGTTAATTATTGCTATTATTTATATTATTTTATAAAAAAGTACGATTTAAAATTATATTATATGTTTAGTTTTGTTAAAGATGTCGGTAATACTTCAAAAGTACTCCATAAATTTAATTACATACATGTGGTTTACAAAATTACTTATAATTATTTGAGCGGTCAATTAATTGGAGAACGGTCGGTCATTTATTGGGTTTCTTCGGTCAATAATTGGTGATTTTAGTATTTCAAGATTCAAATAACAAAATTAATATAATTTTGTTAATTTTTATTATAAATAGTTATTAATTATTATTAATTAAGTATTCAACTTTAATAAAATCCATTACAAATTGTTTTTAATAGATTAATAGATTTTTTATAGCTTAGTACAGAAAAAGAAAACCTTAATCGGTCAATAATTGGTGCATTTATCCTAATACATATTTTTAGCAAAGACAAACTATAATTTTGATATTAAATTTTAGCGTATAACTATAACTCCAAATTTTTAAAGTGGTACCCAGAACTTGAACAAGCTGGGGCTGTATAATTTTAACAGCACTTTTACCTCTAATAGGTTTATAGATTAGTGATCAGTATTGTGATTTGTATTAATTACTGCAAATTAAATAAGTTTTATAGCTAAAAATTCGTGTAGTTAAAAATTATTGAACGTTTTGAATTGACTTTTTTTGATTTATAATTGAAAATTTGATTTGTCATTCTTAAAAAATGTAATAAAAAAATTAAATACAAATATTTCTCATTTTTAAATGAACATATTAAATATTCATAGTATTATTTTTAATATTATTCTATTATATGTTATAATACTTTTGATATTTCAATAAAACGTTGAAAATTTTATCGTAAAAAAGCTCGGGGTGCTTAAAGTTAATGGTTGTAAATATTTTATTGACATATATATTGATTAAAAGTCATTATTAAAATATCTTTAAAAGCACCTCACGCTTTTTTACAATAAAATAAATTTTTTTGTTAATTTTCTTTTATTGTAAACTCACTAAAAATTTTCTTTTTTTTGGTTTATTTTTTATTGAAGCATTTTCAGTTTTTTAAACAATAAAATTATTATTAACCTTGAAAACTCTATTTATATTTTTTTAATTTACAAAGAAAAAAATCATTAATAAATAACGTTTATCTTCCTTATCAAATTACCTCTAAAAGACTTAATAATAAAGCTCACTCCTCAGTAATTACTAATAATCTTATTTAAATGTCAAAGTCTTAATATTTTCCTTTTAAAAAATAATTTTATTTAATTACTCAGTAATCATTTTTACGGTGTGTAATTTTACAAAGATTAAAAAATGCAAATCTGTTATGAAAATTAAGTTAGCTGACATCTAAAAATTTTTATAATTTTTTTTATTGAAAAAAATTAGAAAAAAAATTTCATTTGTAAAAAACTTGGAAAACTTCAAGTGTAATTTTTAAAAAATATTTTTTTGTTCTAATTTAATAAATAATTAAAAACCGCGGCTAATTTTAGTATTAAAAATCTGTTATTTCTTCTTTAAAAAAAAAAGACTAAAATTATTGAATAAACAGGAAAAATAAAATAAAAATTCCAATCAACAGTATCAATAATTAATTAAATTAATTATTCAAGTGTTACATATGAATAAAAAAATAGCGCGTATAAAACACTAAAAATATAAAAATTGGATGAAATCCAAAAAAAATTACCAGAATTGCATAAAAATTTTCCGGAGTTAAAATATTATTAGAAAAAAGAAAAAAAAACTTTGTTTACAAACAAAGAACTCACCTTTTTTGACAAAGGCCGCGATAAATTCCTGGTCGATAAGCTCATGAACAGGCAGCTGGAGAACTTTGTAATAATCAGTATCCTCGACAATGGCACGATAAAGATTAACAGGTATGTCTTTAAACCCAGACAAGACAACGGATATCTGGCAATGATTCAACAAAGAACATTATTAGACAGCGAGCATTTATCACAACAACAATTACGTAAATTAACAGCGTAAAGCGCAACAATAATATTAATGTTTACATACAAAACCAAACAATTATTGCAATTACGCTTTACGACTTATTATTTTAATAATTAAAAATAATTGTCAAGAGTAATACTTACTAAATAATTATAATAATGATCAGCAACAGTAGCTGGTACTTTGTCGTGATTTGTTTTAGTCTTCTGATCATTGGAATAATTTTTAATTGTTTTTAAAACTCGAGGTTTTAAATTTTTTTCGCACAACATTGATGTCGATACTTGCTTTTAACCCACATATATTTATACAAGTGATTTATGTTGATGTTGGAGTGTATAAACTAAGTGTGAGTGTAATTGTGTGTAAATGTTATAAAGTTATCCAGTTTGGATTAATAAATTATAACCCTAACCAAGATCAAGACCACTGCAAGACACTGAAAATGGAAAACAATAAAAATTTTATACTGTCACAGCTGATCTGTCATTGGTTGCTGATAAAATAGTTCCCGCTTTTGCCACCAGGATTTTTTTTAAATTATCCCGCGTTACAGCTGCCACCTGGTGGCTGGAATTGGAAATATTTTTAATAATTCGGAATTTTTTTTGACAGCTGATAATATTAAAAGTTAGCTCCCGTCTCAAATTTGATTTTTTCATTTTTAAATTGTGAAAATTAATTTAGCATATATTTAATAATTTTAATAATTTTATAGCAAATAAATTATGGCAAAAAATAATTAGAAAAAAAAATTGACGTGTGAAAATTTAAAAAAATGCAATTTTTTTAAAATAACCTTTTGGAACAAATTTTTTTAATAAACTACAATTAAAAAATTGTTAAGTCACTGCTAACTTTAATGTCATTATTGAATTTTTTTTAAATTCAACTTTCATTTTTTCAAATTTTTTACAAATGAAATTTTTTTATGAAAATTAATTTAACAGAAAGGTATTTAATAATTTTTTGTAACAAATAAATTATGGCAAAAAAATTATAATATAAAAATTAGCCGACGTTTAAAATTTTTTGGTTTTTTTCAATAATTAAATTAGAACAAAAAAATATTTTTTTTAAATTGCACTTACAGTTTTTCAAGTTTTTTACAGATGAAATTTTTTTTTTTAATTTTTTGAATAAAAAAAAAAATGATAAAAATTTTTAGACGTCAGCTAACTTAATTTTCATAAAAAAATTGTCACGTAGAAATTTAAAAAAATTAAAAATGCAATTTTTTAAAAATAATTTTGTGGAACAAATTTGTTTGATAAAAAAAAATAAAAATTTGTCAAATTACTGCTAACTTTAATGATGATATTGAAGTTAGCTGTCACTTGACCATTTTTTAATTTTATTTAATAAAAAAATTTGTTCCAAAAAATTGCATTTTTAATTTATAAAATTTTCTAAATGTCAATTTTTTTTTCTCAATTTTTTATCCAGTAATTTATTTATTAGAAAAATGATTAAATATCTGCTAAATTAATTTTCATACTTTAATGTCATAATTTAGTTTTTATTTTTTTATAATAATTTTTTCAATAAAAAAAACTTCTAAAAATTTTCAGTGACTAACTTAATTTTTATTGACAGTTGATAAATAAAATTTATGAAAGTATAAGTGAGCAACTTCACAGTAGACACAATAATAATAATAATGATAGTGAAAATATGAAGAAGAAAAAAAAACGTGAATCATCAGAGCTAACGTCACGCAAGACGCTTTTTTTTCATTGTTTATAGTAAGTAAGTAAAAAGTAAAAATTAACGTCAAGTACAGTGAGTGTGTACACAGTATATATTTACAGAAAAATTTACAAATACTACCGAATATTTATCACATAAAAAAACAGAGCAAAGACCTCAAAGATTTTAGGGTTCCGACAGTCCTTGAGTTATTCACGCAATCTACGCAAATAGATTCTTATTCTTGAATTACATCAGGAGAAATCGGGCAGACATCCTTATTAAGTGATTGGTCTTTGTGGTCAGTATTGTTATCTTAATAGAACATATTTATTGTTCTGTTGATTAATTGTAGTGCGTTTTTATTTATTTTTTACAGTGGAGATTTTCACTATGAGCGTAATCGAGATGGACAGCGGAGATATTATGGACAGTAATAAACTGAATAATATTAGAAATAGTTTTAATGATGATAACAAAGATGTTGGGGATGCTTTTGGTTATGGGAAGTAAGTATTAGAATATTTTACAGTTTTTGCGTCATCTTTTTTAGAATTATGAATTATAATGAAATTTATAGACGTGTAAATTTTTTTAGATTTTTATGACAATTAAATTATAATGAAAAAAATTTCTCATGCGGAAATTTAAAAAAATGATGTGCGAATTTCAAATTTTTTTTTATAATCATTGATTTTGCATAAAATTCCAACAATTGTCATATTTCTGCTAATTTTAGTATTATAAAAATTTAAGTGAAATAATATAATAATAAAGTTAGCCGACATTTTTGATTTTTGTATTTTGCTTAATTTATTGAATTATAACTAAAAAATATTTTTAAAAAATTGCACATAGGGTAAATGCACCAATTATTGACCGATTAAGGTTTTCTTTTTCTGTACTAAGCTATAAAAAAATCTATTACCTATTAAAAACAATTTGTAATGGATTTTATTAAAGTTGAATACTTAATTAATAATAATTAATAACTATTTATAATAAAAATTAACAAAATTATATTAATTTTGTTATTTGAATCTTGAAATACTAAAATCACCAATTATTGATCGAAGAAACCCAATAAATGACCGACCGTTCTCCAATTAATTGACCGCTCAAATAATTATAAGTAATTTTGTAAACTACATGTATGTTATTAAATTTATGCAGTACTTTTGAAGTATTGACGACATCTTTAACAAAACTAAACATACAATATAATTTTAAATCGTACTTTTTTATAAAATAATATAAATAATAGTGATAATTAACATAAAGTCAAATTTCTTTAGGTCACAAATAATCACAAAATCATTTTGATGACGATAATTCTTCTGATTAACTTAAAATTTTTTTATTCTTCTCCTT